TAGGGGGTTTTGGAGGTTTGGGAGGGTTGGAAGTTTTGGGGGTTGAAAAGTTTGAGGGTTGAGTGGTTGAGAGTGTAGGGATATGTAGGGCTAGGGTTTGCAATTCTTGTCTATCGGATGTTCTGAGTGGATTTAAATACTTGGGGGGGGGGGGTTAGGTATAGGATTCAGAGAGTCCATAGCTCTGAGTGGAAGGGCTTGGGGTTTAGGGCTGAGGGTGGGATGAAGGTAGGTTCCTATGTAGGAGTCATGTTCCCACGTTTTGAGGGTTGAATGGCTGATGAGGGCTTGCATGTGCAGAGAGGTTTTCGGGCTAGGGGGGTTGAGATGTTGCTGCAGGGTTTTTCAAGAGGAGCGTGGGCTTCAGGCTGCGAATCTCAAGTTTGGGGTTCAGCTTCCGGCTCCTTTCGGAGTTGGACACATCTAGAATGGCTCCTGGGCGACTGTCAGGGCTTCGAGCCATTGCGCTGGTCGTGCTGTTTCGCACCAGCTGCAGATTCAGGCGGTGGTGTCAGGAGATGGGGGCAGCTCGGTCAGGGTGGTGGGACCCACCAGTGGCAAGGGGACGTGGTGCTATGGCTATGACTTGGTACATTGTGCTTCTCATTGTCCTGACCGCTCAGGATCACGCAGCAGCAACGCCCGCTGCTGGACAGGCCAGCGAGGGTCGGGTCTGTTGTTTCTAGTCTCTCTGGAGCTGCAGGGTTTCGTTAGGATGGCTTCGCACAGTAAGCTTGGGTTTGAACAACCAAATCAACCGATGATTCCTCGGAGTCTCTGGGAACGCAGCTACTTACCCTTTGTAAAATGTTTTCGCTTTCTGTTTGTCTCTTCTAAACGGAGCTTTCTTTCGCTGCCTCGTCTCAAGCCTGGCCACGCCAGAGTCGGAACTATTGCACCAGATACAGACCAAGCTCTGCCTTGTGTCCCCGACTAGCCATGCATCCCAGAATCGTGAAGCCATGATCCATTCTTAGAGTCGTTCTAAACCCGGAAGCCAACACCCAAGACCTCGAAGGACCAACCTTGAATCCCAAACCCTGAAGTGTAAGCCATGGCTCCCAGGCAAGTGGTGGACACAGGCGATGCGTCTCCCACGCCTTTCAACATCCAGCAGGCTGTGGAGGACAGGCTGCTCGTGCGGGTTTGTTTGTCATTGGTGGTTCGGGGTTTGGGGGATTCAAAGAAACACGGAACTCGTGAATGAATCCTGTGAAATCCTATCACACTCGATTTAAGATGGGATTCTTATTAAAGCCTAGAAATTCTTGGAATACATAGGACATAGCACGTAATCGCTCGGCTTTCACGCAACGTGACTATCGAGCTGCTTATTCTTCGTAAGGCTGTGCCCGATACTCCAACCCTCTACGGTTCCTTCGGGGTCGAGGTAGTATTCCAGACGGCAGGGAACTTCCGGACGACTGCAGGACGATCAAACATTGAGCAGGCATACCCAGTACACACAGATACACAGGGTACCGCCGAACACTAGATGTCGCATGTACGTGTGCAGATGGCCATGCATGTACCCACAGTTGTAAGTTTACATGTCCATGTACATGCACAGACCAAGATCGTGGGGTTCATACAGGTACATGGATGCAGATGTGTACAAGTCTCACAACAAAGTAGGTATGCATGTCTCTCTATGTGCATGCATCCTAGTATGCACCGTTGCCTGATGTTGCATGTGTATGCACCCATGCACGACGCGTGTATGCCATGTGAGCACGCACTCAAGTGAGTCTGCCTAGCAAGCCGTAGCAGAAAGTAAACATACACACACAAACACGTGCCATGTTCTATTCTAATTTAGCCTCTTCTATTTTATCCCATCCAGCTATAGTAAGATGTATTACATGGTGTTTTGACATCTTATGTGATATTATCTTCTTCGTTATCGTGTTATATTATCATCTTCCGGTCTGTTCCAGTGTCTTCCCATCTATTTGTTATTTTACAGTGCATTTTTTATCATGTATGGTCGTCTACTCTGTTCCATTATGTTCTATTCGCGTAGATCGTATGCACATATGTACATGTGTATGTATGTACGTAGGTAGATATGTATGTCTACATATCTTTGTATGCCCATCCATCCAGCCAGCCATCCATCCATCCGTCCATTCATCCATCCGCTCATCCACCCTTTCATCCATCCATGTATGCATGCGTGGAAACAGACCTAATACATAGCAAGATAGATTGGTAGATTGGGAGACAGGCCGATACGTTCGTGCTGCAAAACTTGAAAGCAACTCTGAAAATGTCGGTGCAGACGGGACCAACATGTAGGCCCTCCGGGTAAAAAAAGATACATACATGTACACATATATAGATCTGTGTATATGTCTGTATGTATGTATGTATGTATGCATGCATGTACATATATACATATATATATATATACATATATATATATACATATACACAGACACACATACACACATACACACACACACACACCTTATTACGTGCGGATGTGTGTACGCTCGTATGTGCATACAAGTACGCAGGCGATTTTTTTGCACAGAATGCGCAAGCATGCATGCGTGCATGCGGACCTACATCATACACCTGTCACGTTTATGCATATAGACATGCGCCTTGCATATTTTCACTCCGAAGCCACACCAGCAGCTTTTATCTCCGAGAGTTTTTGTCAGGAGATCCATGCTGCTTGCAAGCAGAGGCTCGAGATGGCGCGGCGCCTCGTCGTGGTGGGCGGTGACCACACCCTCAGTGTCCCGGCCAGGGCTTTTTTTTGAGCTGTACGGGTCGTCAGATTTTTCTCTTTTTCTGGGCTTTCGGGCTAGGTTGCAGGTTGGGGTTTCGTTCTCAAAACGGCCTAGTCTGACTTTGGTTGTCTGCCCCAACCCTCAACCCCAAACGGTTGTAGGGCGGAGGTTTTGTCCTTCGCAGTCCCTGATTCGCTGATGCTCTCGTGTCTTGCATCGAAACTCCACAAGACAAACTATGCGTTTTGCGTGTGTATTTGCTTAGACATTGGCATATCCTTGCTGTGTTGCCGAAGCCAAGGTTATCCAGTTATCAAAGCGGTGGCCGAGAAGTTTGGTCCTGTGGTGCTGGTGTGCTGGCTCCGGAAATTTCCGGATTGGGACACGAGGTTCAGGGGTTGCTCGCCGTCGCCAGCCCCAAACCCTGAACCGAACCCCCTTGAGCCTCAAGGGCCAGGATGCTGATATTTTTGCTCTCCTGCTCTCATCTCCTCCTCTTTTCTATCAGCATGGATCTGATGACAAAGGTGCACTTCGACTCCCACTTGGACACGTTTCCGCCCATGCTCCCTGGCCATTGTTGGTCCCGCGATTCATGAACAAAACCCTGCACTGCCCACAATAGTGAATACCACAAAGTTTTCCCATATGGCATAGTTCCCATGGGTTTCCATAAGAAAAATGATGCGGAATGTAGTCCATCAGCGGCGAGACGCATCCTTTCTGTAGGCAGCAGTGCTTCCAGCAGCAGCAGCATTGATACCACTAAAAGTGCAGGGAAAGCCAAAAAACGAAATTTCTGATACGAACAGCAAAGAAACCATAATAACAAGAAGCGCGGAAGCGCGGCAATCGTCACTGCCAGAATCATCCCACTGCAAAACACTCATTATCACTATAGAGAAGGAGAAAAAGTAGTGGCTGATTCCCGGAAGTCCTAGGAGGTCCGGGCTCAGACTCGGAAGCTCTGCAGACCTTCAGCGCATTCCGAGTTTCTTTTTTATTGTGCGAAGTCTACAATCACTGTAGCCCGAAACTCGAAGCCCAAACAGCAAGTAAAAGCCAGGCTGCTACGAGTGATCCAGGGTCTAGGATGCTGTATGGCATAGGATCCAGTGCTGAGTGTTCTACACCATAAGCCTTCCATGCGCCGGCAGATGAGACAGCGTCCTCTAATCCAGTGCCCTCGACAAAGGTACGGTCAGCACGTCTGGCATGGGGCTCCTTTCCGCAACTGTTGGGAGGAGGGGCTGCTGGCCAAGGACGCTTCCGAATTGGGCTCTCGCAAAGAGAAGGCCAAGGGGTTCTATCAGACAACCTGTATAGGACTTCTGATTTCCACTGTTGCCTGGCTTGGCTGGTTGTGGGGTTGTATAAACACATGCATGCGTACATGCATCCCTCTCTCTCTCTCTCTCTCCATATTTGCACACATATATAGACACCTTCTTCTATCTGCATATATACATGGAAGCTTTGCAGTTTTGAGATAGCCAACCAAACTTGGCGCCGTCTCCCGAGGTGAGCACCACAGATGTTCAATCCCAGCTGTGCAAACAAATGCCAGTAAGCCCGAAACGCCAGAGTTTCGAGAGGGTTTTTGGGACCAACATGTGCGAGGGCTCAGAGGGCTCAGAGGGCTCCCGGCCTTCAGAAAGAGGACGGCTCCACTCACATTGGCATCCGAGCCACGACCTACTCGGCGGAGGAGTGGGGTGCGGGGCTTTGGGATATTTTTGGGGTTGAGGGGATTCGGGTTTGTAGCTTTGGGGTTCAACGTGGCACTCGGCTCAAAGAGAAGGCTGGGGAAACGCCACATCTGTCTCTTCCTCCATGAGCCTTACAGGCCTTACAGAAACAGCGAAGTGAGTCTAGTGTTTGGATCCTTTGGGGTCTCTGCATCCCGCGCCTCTCCACTCCACTTCAATCTCTGCTTTCCAAACCCCAAGTCGCTGAGCCCCTTCCACCGAACTCCATCATGGCCGCTACAGCCCCTAGCTTCAAAGCACGATTTGTCAAGCCGCTAGCCCCAAAGCCTCAACCCAGCAAAGTGCCCCCGGACCCTAAACCCAAGCGTTGCTGCAGGATTTCCACGACTCCGAGAACATGGGCATTGCGACGCTGACGGCCGAGGATCGGGGAGCAGTGTGGCCCGGGGCTTCCGGATTCAGGCATGAAGTAAGAAGCTTCGGTGTTTGGTCTATCTTTAGTCTTTGGGGCGGCTTTGGGGGCTTTGGGAGTTCTTCGTTTTTCGCTGATTTCAACGCCTAAGAGTCCCAAAGTCCGAAAGCCTGGAGCTCCTTGGCCCTTAGGGCCCGTACGAAAGCCTTCCAAGATCTGAGACATGAAAGCCCGAAAGCCCAGCTAAGTAGGAAAGGCTGGGGATCCGCCCAGGACGTCCACGAGCGTGGCGTTCCGGCCTGTGTCGAGGTGGAGTGAAGAAGTAGTCCTTGTATGAGTAGTAATTATTAGAAGCAGGGGTTTGGGGTTCAAGTCATGGTGACGTTGATAATAAACAGCCGGTATGAGTCACTATGATCGAATAAGTTGTCTTAGGGGGATACGAGTCACAACGAGAACTGTCCTTGTTCGTGCGGTTGAAGATTTGCGTGCCGATGCACCGATCCTGATGAATCGAAATCTTGATTTTCGGAGAGGGTTCTTTCAGGGGACCTGTCGTCCAACCTAAGCAGAGGGCCTACCACGACTGGTGCATGTCTACCGGGTCTGGTGCCCTCTTCGGCAACTTTCGAGATTGGGGGGTTGGCTTCCGACTCTGCACCTGCGGCACACGGCTGCAAGACCCCAGGAACAGTACACTCCCCCCTGGTCTCGGCGTCTTGGCTCGAGATTGGGGTTACTATTTCGGCTTCTCTAGCTTCCCTTGCCACATCAGTGCTTGCCGCTGTGGCCGGGGCTTTGTCGCTTTCCAACGTGCCCACGGCCGACCTGAACCCCCCAAAAGCGGCTTGCCGGGGTTTTTGCCTTCCTGTGCTTCTGCTGTCTGCCGGGCTGCTTCCATTCCCTCGAGTCCCAAGTGGCTCTTCCCTCTCCTTGGCCGCTCCCTCTCCACCGTTTCTGGCTGCTTCTTCCCCTCGAAGACAACCCAAAAAAAGAAACAGGCCACCCTCGAACCAGAGCCTTGAGACCCGGCCCCGAGAAAGCCCAACCCCGCAGAGGCGGTTTGGAATCGCTGGCGGCGGTCTGGCAATGCGCCAGTCTACCTCTCCGTGGACATTGGGGGTGGGGGGGTGGCCCAAAGTGGGTCACACAACTCGCGTGTGTAGCTTGTAGCATGGTGCAGAATTATGTTCAGAGAGAGATGGCAAGACTTTCTCCGCAAAAAGTATGGTCGTTCAGAGCAGTGTGCCCAGGGTTTCGGTTGATCATGCGAGCAAAGGAGGCCACACCTCCCTGCCCCGGATCACTCCAAAAATCCCCATCCAGAAAAGAAGCGTCGAAGCCACATCCAAAAGAGGAGGGCGCCCGTCGGAGGGCCCTGCGCCGCCAGGACATCGACGTCTTGGACCCCTCCGTGGCCCCCGGGACAGGAACACCGGAGCCTCGAGGCAGCAGGAATCGACGAACGCCAACCTCAGGGAGCTTGGCTCTGCCTCTTGCAGCTCTTGGAGGGTCCCCAGCACATGGCACTGCGCTGCCTTCGGGATGTCTTCCTGCTCAGATCTCGTTTTTTTGTGAGCTCCTCATCCTGAGGAGTTTTCCGGCTCCTGTTTGCAGCAACTTCTGAACCCAGTACGCTCACCCGAAGCCCGGATGGTTAAACGACCGTAACTTCGATGTGCTGAGGTTTGGTGGCCTCCTGGCACATCAGCTTCTGCAGTTTATCCGGGGCCTGATGCTGGGCTGATCTCTTTTTTTTTTTGGGCCCTTTGCCAGTTTGCCCGTGCATGTTTGCTTGTGACCGAGCTGTTGGACCCACAACGTAGCTGGAGCCCCCGGAGAGCGAAGAGCAGCTAAGGCTTGAAGCTTGCAACCCCAATCCCAAAAAGGCCATGTTTGGAGCACAGCCCGTAAGCGGAGGAAGGGGCTGCCGATCGTTGGCGCCGATGTCGTCGAGGCCCGGAGATGTCACAGTGGCGGGTTTGGGGTCCCGGGTTGTGAGACGTGGGTTTTCAGGATCCTGTAGGTTGCTGGCTCGTCAGGTAGGAGAGTACCTCGTGGAACAGTCTTCATGCAGAAGATTCCCCTCGTAAACCAAATTTAATTCTCAGGCCATCCCCTGCTGAATGCTGCCTGGAGCATGATCCGATCACCGACTCCGGCCCGGCAACACTGCCGACGCACCCCTGCTCATTACTTGCTATAAGGCGGCTTCGCCTCTGGGCTCCAGCGATCCATGGAGCCGCCCCGTCTCTGCCTAGCGTCTTAACTAAAGACACTGCCCCAGTGCCGTTACATGTGCAGGCCTGCCCCTCACTCTCGCAGTGTCGCAGGCTTTGCTACCTGCCAAGAATGCCAACCCAAGGCACTGCCCGCGTCCCTGACAGGAATGCCAACCCAACGCCCAAACCGCGCCCAGGCCTTCTGTCCTTCCCTCTTCCTCCTCGCCTAGCCCTTGCTCTCTCCTCCACCGCTAGCCCCCACAAACTACTCTCTGCCCCTGCACCACACTGCGTCCCCCCCTGCCGCCAGCCGCGAGTACCAAAAGCCTTGTGCTGCGAGCCGAAAGCCTTACAGTGCTTGCTCCAGGCCATAGTAAGTACCTTAGTTGGCGACAGCGGGCGAAGTAACAATGCTTCCTCCAACGTAACAATATTAAGAGTCCCACTGTTGTTGAAGATCAGATGAAAGTGCATGAACTTGGAGTCTCTGGGTACTCGTAACTTCACAGGTGGCGCCCGCCTACGACCACGCCGGGATCACGGCAATGGCCGCCGCCAACCTTCTCTTGGAGCAGATGCTTAGCAGCCCCTAACAGAGCTCAGCCTTCACCCCATGAGTCTCAAACCCCACATCCCGAACTACGCGAACGATGGCGACCATGGTGACGGTGATGACATCCATGTTGATGAATCATGGCAAACCACCATCTACTGCTGGCACGTGGTGGTGATTGTCAACACACGGCTAGATCCGAAGTTGCATTTGGACGGTGCGGCGACTTAGGCCAGTGCTTCAGGTTGTTGGCATTAGACGCCTCTGTGCAAGCCCCGGGGGCAGATGCTCACCTCTCCAGATCAATACACGCCATCTCTGGAAAGCCAGGATTGCCCTGATCAGCAGCTGCATGGACTCTGACGGCATGGAGAAAGCCCTCCAAACAGTCTGAGCCCAGGGCCGACCGAGGCCACAGCCGCCACAGCCCTTGGACCCCCAGTTTCTGCCATTTGGCTGCGGGATTTGGATGTCCGATCTTCCAATGGAGGCAGCTCCATGAAACATCCGGCCTGAGGTGTCCTTGTGGAAGGGGCGGCAGCACTAGCTCCATGCTTGGTACCCAACACTCTGTTCTCGATGCTCTATTTTTGGGAACATGCCACGTAGATCTTGCAATGTAGGGACCCGAGAATGCATCGGCAGAGCGCTGTGATCCAGGGTGGAGTAGCCTCCCGGTACTTGTTGGAATCCTAAGCATCTTCGAAGCCCGAAGCTCTCTTGAGCCCCAAACTCTGCACCTAAATCGTCTGCATCGTTTCGCCGACTTTACCTATCTTTAGCGCTGCCAAAGCCCTTATCAGGACTTGCCCCGGGCCGGACCTGGGGGTTGTTCTAACGATCGAAATCAAAGAATGTGTGTTGGTGCACAGGCTGGACGGCTAGACTCTAGGCTCACGCTTTATTTCTTGTATAAGGCCAGGCAGAATCGCACCACACGTTCGAAGACCAAGCAGCCCGCGCCTTTGGAACAACCCTCGGCCACACGATTCGATTAAAGCTGGGCCCAACCTCGTGCGCAGAGGATGGCGGCAAAAGCTCGAAGGTTTCCAAGCCTTGTAGGCCTCAAGTCCTAAAGCCCCACAAGTTCCACCCCTCCGCCCTGGGTGTACATTTGTCCCGTTTGGGCTTCCGGGGGACTCTGCCCCATGCATACTGAAGAGAAAATACCGTGTATGTGCCGTTTGGGGTTTGGGTTGCAGGAGTTGGCCTTCAAAGTCGGGAGCTTCGGAAAAGTCCGAGACGTCGGATGAGGGCTTTCAACTTGGGACGTGGGGTCTGGTTTTGGGCTTTTGCACCCTATTTCCCAAAAAAGCATCGGGGGAAGTCGAAGAGTTGGGATTGAGGTCTACCCACTCTGAGGCGCGGGGCTTTTTGGGGCGGACTGAGGCGAACTCAGAATCTTCACACATTCCGGCCATGTTGGGCTTTTGGCAGCAGCTTGCAATCACAGGCTACACAGCGTCCAGGCATAGCTGCGTTTGAGACTAAGGTGTTGGCTCCCAAGTGCTCGAAATCTGGGGTACCGGAAGTCCCGCTATTCGGGCACCTGGGCCTTTAGGGTTCGCTTGAGGGTCTGGGCGGCCAGCACCCTATTAAACAGATTCCCGCGAGCGATGGCATAGAACCGCCCGACACAATGGAGGAGGACTTTGGGTTCAGGATTTAGGGCTGAGTTGAGAAGTTTGTCTCCATTGGTCCACAAAACACCTCACCCTTTGCTTTTGAATCCTGGGGGGCCAATAATGAGTGGAGCTTTCTTTCTGCAGCGCTCGTCGGCTGATTGGACATGGAGCAAGATCCAGGCACGTACGCCTCATCAAAGCTTGCGGACCATGATCGAACCGACTCTTCGGATGTTTGAAAACACCGGCAAGACCAGGACCGCTTGACTTGTTTTCCCCCGGCTTTGCCAAGCCTCTCGCTAGGACAATGCGGCCACCTTGTCTCAGGCTCTGTGGGCGGGGCTCGGTAGATGGTTTCAGTTCAACACCAGAAAACCCTCAAACTTGAGGGAAACAGGAAGTAGAACTGAACCTCGCGAGCACTCAACCCCCAGCCCCCTTCCCGAAACCGCATTTTTTTTTGTGTAGTTCTTACACCCATACCACAAGACACAGCGAGGCCTCGGGATCAAAAGCCGCCTACGCACTCGATCAAGAAGAGCCCAAGTGTCCACGAGATCACGATTCCGAGGGAGGATCCCGAGACTGAGGGGTTTCTTGCAGCGGATCTTCCGGTACATTTCTTCGCCGGGAATGTCCTGGACATCGGAGTGCAACATCTAAACACTCTGGGTCCTGCGTCCGAGAGCACGTGGACCCCTGAGGTGGGTCTCATCACGGCCTTGCCGGCAGTCGTCCTGCGCCCAGTTCAATACACACTTGGCCCAGCGAGCAGACAAGCTGCCGAAGATGGATCACCAAAGCGTCCTCGAAGATCTATGCTACAGGATGCTACAGGGTTCTCATTTACCTTCAGAAGCCGTCGGAAAGCCGCCTTATAGGCCCGAGCCAGATGCCCTGAGCCGTCCTACTTGCTTGTCCTAAACTCCTAATCCGAGAACCCTGCCCCCGAAAGCCTTCAACGAAGAAAGCCAAAGCCCTGCGACGAGGCCATGACCCTGGGTTCCATGGCCGTCTCGGTGGGACAGCCGCGGGCAGCCCCAATCAAGACTCGAGCAAAGGGTTTCATGGTTCAGGCCTGCTATAAAGGTTGCCAGGAGGGTTCCATGAGGTTTAAGGTTTAGGGTTTGGGTCCTGGGTTGGTCTTAGGTGGTGTTACTCTCCCAATCATTGCTCGACCTGCTGTTCTCGTTCTGTCACAGTGCTTAAAACGGTCCTCTATATATATATACATACATATATATATAGATATATGTTATTTGTCAACGGGGTTTGGCCTCCGTGTGTTGTGTGGAGGGATGCTTAGGCTTTCAGAGTCGTCCTGGGTTTTCTGGCTCCGGGCTTTCTTCGTGGGATCCTTGTCTTGCCAAGTTTCTGGGTTCACATCTTTTGGATCTGGGCTTCGTGGTCTGGGTGCTTGATTGCGTTGGGGGTTCTACATGGCTTTATGTCGGGAGTTATGGGTTTTTTGGGTGCGCTGAAGCAGTAAACACCCGAAAGCCAATGAGAAAACGGTTTCGACTCGGAAGCCCTAGCTTCTTGCAGCCCGAAGCCTTGCTCCGAGTTGCATCACGAGCAAGAAAAGGCGGCCCGAGTTCTTTGAACCCGGCGTTAAAGGCTAAAGCCCTTTTTCCCTGAGCCCAGCTCGCCAGTCAGAGCTAAACCCTCAAGACAACCAAGAACCCGAGATCCAAGACCTTAAACCCCTGAGCAACCCTCGACCGAAAACCCTGAACACCACCCCTCAGCCCGAACTCTTCAACTCCTAAATACCCCCAGTCCTAGCTTGCCCCTCAAGAACCCCCCTCTTCTACCGGACCCTTCCAGGAATCCTTTTGTCCGTAAGCCCTCGGCCCTCAACTCCCTGGTTCTTAGTAAGGAATGGGAGAATGGATCCTTATGATAGTCCCTTAAGGTCCCCTATAGTAGTCCCAAGAACCCATTCCGCAGAGCCTCAACCAGACCAGGTCGGAGAAGCTGGAGGCCCGGCTGCAACACTTCTCGGCCGGGGTACGGGCCCAAGCAAGGGGGACCATCTGCTCCTACAGATCCCACCGAAAAAAGCCCATAAAGGGAGCCTTGCTGTGCGATAACGAAGGACTTTTTGAGAGTTTTGCCGGGGTTTGGGCTTGTATAGCTTTTTTATTGCCCGGATTCGGGCAAGTTTTGCTTGCCGGCACCAGGTTGTCACTGATGCTTTAGCACCCTGTACTCGCTTCTATAGCCC